CCATTCAATGAAGCTCATATGTTGGAATGGTTAAATAAAGGGCACAGAAATGTTAAATCAACGGGGATGATAACTAATTCAATAAAGGGCACGAAGAAGTAATACAAACTCCACGGGGTGGAATATGGTTAAACAAAGGGTATTTAGAAATTAATTATGATAATCTTAGTGGTTCCTCAGATCGTTAAGTAATATGAAGAATTAATCTAAATAGACTGACTCGCAGATGGTTGAAAAATGACGTGAAATGATGAAGCTCAATCGGTTCTCTCAGATTGTTTTATCTCAATGGGGGCTCGCAAATGGTTAAATCGAGGACCTGAATAAATAGTGGATCTCGATGGTCTCTGAGAGGGTTCAATACAATCCAATTAACATCTTGCAAACATGTGAGAGGGAAAAAAAACGGCTGCACATGCGGTGTCAAAAAAAATGTTTACGCAGTTTTAGACATTGACTGAAAAAAATATTCCGAAAATTGTAGACCTGTAGCATTCGGTGTTCACTAAGATAGGGTTTGGAAGTTAAACACGTTTCATTCGTTCTTCAGCCCTTCCTTCCTGATGACCCACTAGGGATCACTATCGTTTGTGATATTGAGTGACTGAATGGCTCATTCCACTACCCATGTTCTTATGGGCTACAGCCAGAGCAGTTATACCTTGAAGGTTTTAAGGAGTTAATTTAACAAAAACATAACTCGTTATTTATTTTATTTTCATATGTTTGTCCATGTCCTAAATTTGTATTCAACAAAGTCTCAATGAACATTCCGATATTCAAATTGTGCTGTCTGCATACTGCCATGATGCAAGGAATGCCCAATGTGAAATCTATCGCAGCCAGCAGTCCATCACCCAGCGTTAGCGAACACCTTCTAGAAGTTGATATCACAGACCTACTTCTGAGATCCCTTGAAATTGCCTCCTGTCCACACGGGGGGAAGGGGGCGGGGGTGACACTTTCTTGCATACCCTGCTGTAGATAACACTGGTCAACACACTTTTTCTGGCATAAGGTATTCCAACGGTTTTAATGTACTTTTGGGGTGCTGATTCCAAATCTGGCATCAGTTTTTGTCTATCACATCAGGTTTTTGAGATATCAAATATTGCATTTTCAATAAAAACTGCAGAAGAAAAATATTAAATAAATGTGGATATCTACATAAAATTATATTATAAGCACACTATCCTAAAAATACAGCACCATATTTTAACACTAAAGCAGTCACTGACTCGCAACAACTTGCAATCATAAGTGACAGAGTTAATTTCTGGTAAAATCAATGAAAATGGAGTATGCCGATAGCATAAAATGAGATGTGATAGAGCAAATCTGAGATCAGATTTGGAATCGGCACCCTGAAATTAGTCTAAAACAGCTGCAAAAGTCTAGGCCAGAAAAAAATGTTTTTTTTTGTTGACCAGTGTAATACAGCATGGGGTTTTGTGTGCGGTTGCGCCGTATATCTCTAATGCATTTTCAGGTTGCACCAGGTATTTGTAGGTACGATGTCCCCATGTTGATCTCCACTCGCTGGTCAGGAAAGGTTCTCCAGTGTGTATATAAAAAATATATAAATGCTACCTCTTCGCATTCATTCTCAAACATGACATAGCATTTAACAAGTGGCATGCCATGTTTAAAAGCCATAAGGAGGTCAGGTTGCTTCGGGGTCAGCACAGTGAGGCTGCACTACTGGGATCCTGGGCTCCAACTCGGGTTTCAGTCACCCATTAAACCAAGTGCAGCAAGAATCGGGTGTCAGCCCAGTCAACAATGACTGTTGTCAAATTCCTGCTCTAAAAAGTAGGAGTTTTATGACTGCCATATGACACGTGTCTATAGCCCGGCCATCAATGTGTTTTCTTGGTTGTACCGTATCTTGCTCAGCATGACGTCCAATGTGTTTTTCAGTGGCCCTTTTGTGCTTCAAGCCCAGTATATGTCTGCATATAAAACAAAACGGGAGAATCAATGTACTTAATCAATATAAGTATTGATATTTGGTCGCAATATTTAAATATTAATTATTCACCGATCAAGTTTTTTTTTTGACTTTCATGTATCACATCTTCACAGCAAAATAAGGAAAGGCTAATTTCCTCGTGAGAAATATCATTGCATTGATGGCAGGTCTTTCTCAACGCTCAAAATTTCGCAATGTGTCATATATATATACGCACACACTATATTGTGGAGCAGTTATTAGGGCACCGAGGGCCTTCTTATAAAATGAAATAAAATAAGATACAGTGAAATAAAAAGCACACCATGAGTCTGAGGACCTGTTAAATAATGCATGGGATGATGCCTGACCCTTATGAAATAATAAAGTACTGCAGCGTTGGCGCAAACGCTTCGGAATTCATTTCCCGGGTCTGGCACGTGCCGTGACCTGTACAGAAGTGGCCATTAATAACTTTTAGTCTCAAAATTTGTGCCCGTGGCATAACAATTTGTCCGCCTTAAGCTCAGCCACGTGACTTTAATTTGCGGATTGTAATAAAAAAAAACTAAGGATTTAAAAAAGGACACCAAGTAACATCTGCAGCAATGTTATTACAAGAACCATTGCAGTAAATTATCTCACGTTATCGACAAAAGCCGCACGGAGTCCGAAGACTTATTGTTGTTGCGGACAGTTCTTCCTGGGACGTTTGACCATTTTCTTATTACCTAACACTTTAGTATGTAGGAGGTAATGAAAGTACTTGGGGGTAAGCCATGAGAACGGTTACCTACTTGCTCTACTGCTACGTACTTGCCACGTTGTATGCTCTACAGGTGGGTGTCGAACACAACATAATATATGCGCAATCCAGCAGTCTCTGCCACCCAAGCATTGGCGTACAGGTGTGTGTGTGTGCCAGCAATTCACGTTGTATTACCGCAGCAGATGGAGGTATTTCAGAAAAAAAAAAACTTACATTTGAAAGCAATAACAAACAGATGCGCAGGATTTGAATCTATGGGTTTGGCTTATACAATTTATGACATCTATAACTAGAGCTCGCAGGAGATCACACTTGGTGAGATGTTGCCGCACGGCCATGTAGCAGTGATGGATGTAAAGATTTGGCTGTTGATGTGAACGTGTGTGGAGCGGGCAAACCGTTGTGAGCTGGAGGTGGGGGGTTATTGCAAATTAATTTTGTCTTCAGCACGAATTGATGTGCTGGTATCTATGTGGATATGTGTGTGCATGTTGACTCGGCCTCAAATGAGTTACTGGTGCGGTGTGGAAGCATCGCTCATGGCGAGACAAAGGCAGCCGGGCGTGGTGCTGGTCACCCACCCCCTTCTGCACCATTCCTGCCTTCATAGGTGCTCGCTAACAGCACTTGCCCCAACAGTCTTCAAGGCTATACGGGGGATCTTTGTTTTTTTGTATGTGTAGGCAGCTGTATTTTGTGCTGGCCAGACAGCACCCACTCGTCTACTGTGCTCCCCTTAATACTAGGTGCTTTCTCGCAGCTTTTGCCTATGTGGATATGCTGGCCCGTTGTGTGGCCAGAGCAGCGGTGCAGTGGTTATCGCATTGTGCCACGATCTGGGGCTTAATTCCTAGCTGTAGACATCGGTGGCACGTGGTAACTGAACCTGTCCTCTGCCTAACCCTATGTCTAATCAGCCTCAAGTGAGGACCTGCTGCAGTGTGTTCACCATTGGTGATGTCAGACACAAGCAAAAGTAGATGGCCCTATAGGGGTTTTATGACATTTTTTTTGTAATATTAGCATTTTTTTGTGTTTGGTTCGTTGTCCTTCCCCCCACACCTCCGATTAGCACGGTTGGCTACGTACGGTGCGAAAGAAGTTCAACATACATCAAAACCCACAAATATAGACGCACATAATGCATGCATATGGGTGGCAACTGTACGCCTGTGGATGTGCATTGATATGTGTTCAAGTGTGTGTACACATTTGTGTGTGTATCCGTACGAAGTTAAACACAGTTAACGTCTCTGTCAATTGCGATGCATTTGTAGACATTAAACCATCTGAAGTGCATCTACTTAAAAAGCACGGGGGACGGTGCTTATTTCTGTTCACGAGCCTGGAAGCCATTGCTGAAAATTTCACATTGCCGTGGCAGCGGCTGCTGCAGCCGTGGGACGACCGCTGTTGACTCCCCGCAAAGTGGCAGTCACACGCTGCGCGTCAAGAGCATTCATTGGCGATGTGAAGCCATTGAAACGCTCGCCAGCCGTGTGCGGCCGATGCCTCAAGTTTTCTTTCCGCCTCAACAAGTGTGGACCCACGGAGCAAAACGGTGCCCGCTGTGCCCGTTGAGCTCTCGGCCCCCGCAACTCCGCGGTGGCGAGGCGTTTGCCGAGCGACGGCGTTTGGACCGGCGGCGCTGGAGACCTGCGCCCCTTCCCGTTTGTCTCTCCCAGGCACAGCGCCGGTGCCTTCTCGGGAGTTCTCCATGAAATATAGTGCCCGCCTGGCTGCACAGCACAGCCAGGCTTTTGCACCACCGCCAGTCTCTTTCTGACAGCGTGGCGCTGCCTCCCTCTCTCGCCACTGCCTCGCTGACACCTCCTCACCTCCCTTTTTCACGCTTTGCACAGACACGGGCGGTAAAAAAACCACGGGATTGCCCGGTTGTGCGTGTGCTATTTTCTAACTCCTTTGTGCGTTGTTGTCTTTGCTCTTGCTTTTATGGTCATGTATATATCGGTAATATTCCTACCCTGGCTGCCTTTTCTGAAGAAGGACCGTTGCCTGAAATGCTCGCCGCCTATGGTTTATCGTTCTATTATGAGGCAGTGTTAATAGTGGCAAATAGTGGCCTGTTGCCTTTAGGATATTAATTATAGCACATTTGAGAAGCCTTGCTTGCTAATGGGCCTATATTGTGTGCGTATATATGGTTATGCGTGCGTGCGTGCGGGATGTCCGTGTCTTTATGCATGTGTGTTTTACTTCTCTCTACCCCTCCTCCCTGCCCCTCCTCCCTTTCTCCCTTGTCTCTTTGGAAAATTACAGATCACCCAGGGATCCGGGACAGAAAATGATCAAGCGTGTTATTGCCCTGGAAGGAGACATTATCAGGTAATTCAGCATCTCACCGAACAGCCTGCTCTCACATCCGCTGGCCGCAGGGGCAAGGGCTAATAGGAAACAGACGGATACATTCGGTGACTGATAGACAGGCAACTGGAAGACGCGTAAATGGACAAGGCAATTGAACGGACGTGGAGATGAGCACGCGGACGTACAAACAGACGGGCGATCATAGCAGACGACTGGCGATACAAATGGATGTTCGGACACGTCGGTGATATATGGACAGTTGGGCAAACGGATACATTGATAGATGGACACGGGATTGGACGTGTGAACGAGATTGATACATTTCTGCTCAAATCCACATGCCCACAGATGGTTGGTGCATGTCTGGGTTGTGTATGGGAAACAATTGGAGGAAAATGTCACAGGTTTTGTGCATCTTGACAAAATATTATATAAAGCATTTTAACAACACCTCTTCCATCGAAGCCATTGGCATAACAGAGTAATCATAAAAACATTTACACTCACCTTTAAGTAGAGGTAACTGGTATTTTGTATGTATAGTGGTGTGGCACATTTGTTCCCAAGCTGATTGAGTGGTGATTGAGTGGTGATTACTGATTGCCATCACTTTTGAACGCATAAAATAATTCCCTTCCCCCTTCCCTGATGCATACAAATTCAGTAAATCATGTTTTTCATGGGCACTTCATTTGCATAAAGCGTTAAGCCATGCCTTTTAAAAAGAAAATAATTAGCATTGAAATTAATTACACCTGGTCGCTTTTAACCATTTCACCCACAATGCACTGCACACCGAGGTGCAAACAACAACGACGACAACAACAACAACGTCGCAGCAAACGTGGCCCGCTGGCACCTGTTCCTCCAACCGCGATCTTACTCCAAACAGCCTTCGCCTTTCCAACGGCATTTCCACGCTCCGCATCTATGAGCCACAAAAAGCTACTCGTGCGAACATTAACCCCCCCCTCCCGCGCGCACCGACAGCAGCAGCATGGAAAGTTTTCCCCGCTTGGACGAAGAGCACCTGTGCGTGAAGCCCCCGTGCTGCCCGCGCGCGGGTTAATCTTGAGTTGCTCTCGGCCGCGCCTTGATTGGCATCCCGTGCGATGTGCCCCGTACGCCACGCAGGGCGACACATCTCGCTTTGCTTGCCCGGTGTGTGGGCTGAGCCAACCCCCATATAATCTGCCCATTTATCACCGTCCACGTCCGGCGCATTAACGCAAAGCGACGCGGGCCCTTCATTTGCCCCTAATGGGTGTTTGGTACGTGCTGTGGGTGGGATGGAGTGGGTGGTGGGAGAGGGAGGCAAATTAGGGGGAGGATGATGATGATGGTGGTGGTGGTGGTGGCGGCGGTGGTGCTGCTGCTGGAAGATGGCAAGGGCAGTTGGACGGATGGGGGTGGTGGGCTGAGAAAGTGGCACAGCCAAGATCCTGCAGTGTAATGGCACGGGTAGGATATCTCTGTCAAAGTCAAAGCATCTTTAGGCAAATACTGGTGTGTGTGTGTGCGCGCGCGCATATATGTTTATGTTATTCTTCTTTCGCACTGTACGTAGCCAACCGTGCTAATCGAAGGTGAATGCACGCTATGAATGCACATTTTTCTGGAAAGGCATTTATTTTGGAAATTGGATATAAACACACCTGCTATGAACACAGGTCTGATATAAGTATCACGTGCTTACATACTATGGAAAGAACAGCTTTTGATACAAGCACACCCAACGGGTGTGTTTAAATCTAGCTGCTACTCTACATCAAAAACTGGGATTGCTTCTCTCCTCATATGAAAGTCGGTGGAAAAAAATCAATACATTCGTCAATAATACAGCCTTAAAAAGAAAAATATAAAAGAGCTGACATTTCAGGCAATGCCCCTTCTTCGTGGCACATAAATGATCAAAGTTAGGTAGTTCTCGTATGAATTAGCTTCCCTGATCCAGTGGTGGAAATTACATTTGCTATCGCAGGAGCCAGTGTCCCCGTAGGACGTCTTTGTAAGTGGTTGCAATTCTAGACTGTGCGCGTAAGACCAGCTGATGCACAACCGGGACACAGAAATTTGAACAAACAGCGGTGTTGATGGCTTTCGCGTCGGGAGTCTTAACTGTGCGTTATTGTCCCTGAGTCGTAATGTAAAGACATTTTTCAGCAGGGTGCTTTTGGTGAATTTTGACCGTTCTTTCACATCAGGAGCCTTGTCGGCGAGGTTTTAAAAAATCATTATTATTATTATTGGCTTTTTGAAAGATAAACGTTTTCCCGGAAAAAAACACAATACGGAAACGCGGAGAATGATTGTCACCAAACAAACGTGGGCAAGCCCCTGCGTTATCTAAAACTCACGATTGCTTGACAGCACGGTAGGCTACGTACTGTGCGAGAGAAGTTCAACACATGCAAATACACATACGACAGTACCCGGCCAAAACCACTGTGAATAACGCCATGATGTGCAGAGACCTTCATCCATCAGCGGATTGATAAAGGGCTTGTGAATTAATAGTACACGCACAAACACGTTTGCTTTGTTCACCGTAGATCCCGTGAACAAACTGTGTTGTTAGTGAGCACCTATTAAGGCCACCATGATACACGGTAGGAGGGGGGGGGGGTGTTGTTATTGGCAGCATGCCTCGCTGCTTTCATTTCCCCAGGTGTTGATGTTTACATATCATCCACTTTAGGCTGAGTTGACCTATAGGAAGCTCAGGACAGGTGAAGATACCATTTTATCATTTTCAACTGCTGTAAGTTCAAGTTCATTTATTAGGTATAGCCCTGTGAGCCATTCGGCTCTTGAATCGGGTGCAACCGCAACAAACAAAAAACAAAAATACGAACAAAAAACATCTTAAAGTGAATATGTGACTAAGTGCAAACAGAAAATCCAAGAAAAGACAGCAAAATATTGCAGAAAAAAATCACCATACACCAACGCTGTGTGCAAAAATCCCAGTGGGATGCAAGTCAAACAACCAACAACAACCACAAGACAACTTAGATTAAGGCCATCAGTCTAACTCTGTACTACAACAAACAAACATGGCTAAACCAATACACTTTTCGAAATCACCAAAATAAAGCCATGAAAGCAATGAAACAGTGATCATAGGAACTGTGACGGAATAAGCGCTGGGAATCAAACTCAGGCCTCGCCCGATTCATGAATTACTGCTGCGTCGCTCTAACTCCCACCATCGCCTCACTCAAGGGTCCTTGAGAGCTCCAAACTCACACTTGAACTGGTTATCTGTGTGTTATTTACGCACTCTGTTTGCCCATTGTTCATTTAACCTGCCGTGAACAGCACATTGTCTGCACATTCCTGAGACTCTCCTTGACTGCGACGGTGCACTTGCTTGTGTCGGGCGGCGGTGTAAATCGATGTGGACTCGTGTGTTGTGAGCGCACGTGTGGTGAGTGTGCGTGTTCATTCTGAAGGATGATGGTGCGTTGGCAAGCAAGGCCGCATCGCTGTTTTGATGAAACAGTTTTGATTTCGGGTTGTGGGATGCAATACTTACGGCAGCCTGAGCTTAATGTCCCCTAAGTTGACTCGAGCTGTATGGTACCATCATTATTCTCACCCGAGACCCAATGGTGATTGTATTTGTTTCATAATCAGTTTATTTTTGGTTAGATAGTGTGAGTAAAATGTGAATTGTTTAACTGTATTCGTCCACCACCCGACAGAGCCACATGAACAAGTATGCCGATTAATTGGATTTTTCAGCAAACCAGAAATCTGAAAAGTAAGAAAAATGTGGACAATTTTGCACGATGTTTCGCTGGGGATTACATCCAGGACCATCGGTTGTTAACAAAAGCTCAGCTCATGATCTAACTCAAAAGAAACACAGTTACCAATCATAATATTGGCCGTGAAAGCTTACGTATAAAAGTGGTCATATTTGTGTTTGGTGCTGTATGCACCCTTCCCTCCCAGTGTGCTGTAACGACTTATGCCCACGATGTCAGTATGTTATATTATTAAATATTTGCAATAGTTGTATTCATTATTGTCTTTTTATATGGTTGTAAAGCCACCAATTGTATCCCAGTTCGAGCAATGAGCGTGTGAAACAACGGAAAAGCTTTATCCGTTCTATTTCATTCTGAAGCCTCCTACACAGCCGAGTCTCGTACTCTCAATGGGAAATGTCTTTTGTAAAATCCTCCGCCGCAGGGCTCGGCTTGACTGATTGATTGTGCCCTCTTCGCTGCCCTCCCCTGCAGAACCCTGAGCTACAGGAACAGGTACGTGCGCGTGCCCGAGGGCCACTGCTGGGTGGAGGGTGACCATCATGGCCAAAGTTTGGACAGCAATTCCTTTGGGCCGGTGAGTCCAGAATGACGAGTGCTGCCGACACCGCTCTCGCGATTGTGAGCTCCATCGGTAGCCGTGCAAACACACACGGCCACTACCCCTCGGCAGCTGCACAAACTAACACCGCGACTACCTTCGGCACAAACACAAAGTATCACAGCCACTACTTTCAGCACCAACACATACTTCCATCATCACCACCACCACCATTAACGTACAAAACCATAATCGGCACGAATGCACACCACAACCACCACAACATCACCACCATTGCATTCAGGACAACCATACGCCACCACCATCCCCACCAACACACAGCAGCATTATTAGCACCACTACAACACACACCACTAACAGCATCACCAGAAACACACCAGCATCATTTGTGTGGAGCACTGCGATGGCGAGATATTATCTCCCTTGCCTGGTGCGCAGGAGGTCGTGGGTTTAATCTTCGCCTTGACGATGCTTGTATATTTGAAGCTTGTGTGTTTTCTCTCTTCCCGTGGTCATGTGGATTTTGCTCCGGGTCCTCCATGAATGGGAATGCATAAATATTTGCGTTCCAGACGGCCGCAGTAGCGTTTGGCTAATTTGGCTACGACTACAAATTTCTAAATTTGATGACATGAGTCACTTGAATGAGCGATCATCTGTGGCCAGTGCGGCTCTGAAAAAGAGCTAATAGTTAAGTAGGCTTTAGCCGGTAACTAAAACATTATTTAGTGTGAGAATAACACCATAATGAAGTGAAACATACCCCTCAATGGATAGAATATCACGGCTATTTTTTTTTTGTATTGGATCCTTTAAAGTTGGTATCGTTGAACACAGAATGGGTGGTGTGGCTAGCAAATATTTATGCATTCCCATTCGTCTCTGCCTCCAGTTGCTCGTTTCAAGCTGCGTTCATCCACTGTCGGAAAGGCTCAGCCTTTGTTTACGTTCCTATTGCCCATGGCTTTGTTCCTGGCCCGGAATCTTAGGGTGGGCCACCTGGCCCAGTTTTTACGTGCGCTAACCACTGCAACATCACCACATTCGCCACCATTAGCCACTGCCTAAATGTTTTTGAGGATTCGTGAGAAATTGTGTAAATGTGCCAGCCAAAAAGTGTTGTAAAGTGGCTGGCACTTATGGAATTATTTCGTCCAAGCATACTTACCTTGCTGATTTCATCAAGGAGCTTAAACCATCACGCAAACTCAGGTCATCCTCGCAGTGGCTTTTGGCTAACCATCGAACAATGACGGTGACCGCATCGTGTACTCTCAGATGCGCTTCTGCGGCCGTCTGGAACGCTCTTCCTTCCAATATTAGGATGCCACTGGAGCTATGAACTTTTTTATACAAATTGAAAACTCATTTCTTCAGAACTGCTTTTTGTGTTTAGTTTGTTGGCCTTCCCCTATTCCTCCAATTAGCACGGTTGGCTACGTACGGTACAAAAGAAATTCAACATACATACATATATTTTAGTAATCGGTTTTTACCCTTTAAACTGGTACCAAAACTGACACCTTTGTACAAGACATCATGTTTGCAATAACCACAACACAAGCAGTCAAAATGCAAACAAAAAGAAACAACTCTGATAATGATAATGATATGCACTGTCCTTGAAGTTGATTGGTCCACACCCGAGACAGCTTTTCTTAGAGCCTAGTCTCCATTGGTGTTGGACCAGATGACGCCAAAAGGCGCACAACTCAAAAACAGCGCACTATCAGAGTATTGAGAGCTCGGGGAAAGCATTTATACTATAAGACATCTCCTTTACCAGGAGATGTCTCATAATACATATATTTGTCTGGAATTTGCACGCATTCAGTCTCCTATGCGATTGCTCAGTGATTGCACAACAATGCTGACCACAGCCCTCCTGTTGTGTTCCCACAAGAAGGGGAGTGCCTTGAAAATGTTGCTTTTCAGTGAGACCATGGGAGGGCATATAAATAGAGGAAAAGAGAGTTTTAGAAATAACAATAACAATAAAAACTCCGCTGGAAAATAAGATGGAGGTAAAAGTTTGCGGGCCTCGGCGCTATAAATGCAGAGCGTGGCATGACCCTGACCCTGCCACCCGTGATTAAATGGAACCGACAGATGTCCACTGCCACCGTGATGGAATCGTTCGTTGCAGCAGAGAATGCGGGCGACCACGCCAATCCCATTGCAGCACCACGACATGCTTCTACCCACAACATCCCCCCCCCCCCCCCACCTCAAGCTACACTGCCTCGGGTATCCAAAACTTTCCCAAAAAATGCTGCAATTTTTTTTCTTGCCGTGTATGCGCGCGTGCTCGCGCGTGCTCACGTGTTTGTGTGTGAGTGTGCACGCGCACGAGAAGATCAATGTCAAATTTGGTCTTATTTACTCGCAGCATCAGCAATTCCTCAACTGCCTGAGATGCGATTTGTTCCCAAGCGGAACATCAGCAACTGTGTGGCCCGGCGGTCCCAAGTCAAATTCTCTCGGTCGTGCCTTCTCTGTAAGGGTTGTCTCGTGAGCGTGAGTGAGTGAGTGAGTGCGCACCAATACTGGTAGCCTGCAAGTTCAACTGAAGGTGAGTCAAGCAGGCAGGGCATTTCGCAGAAATGGTTTTGGGTCTGGCGATTTGTGTCTTATTTTTTTATAACAGAGAGTGTTTTTGTTTACTTGTGCTGACAGTTTTTCAGTGAATGTGTTGGCGATGCTGACAAAGTGGGTGATAAGTGATTGTAAGAGCTATTTGTCTGCCTGCGTATGACACGGCTGTGTGCGTGCAAGTGTATCTATGTGTGCATGCATACGTGCATTCGTGCGTTGTAGGGATTTGTGACATCGTGGTTCACACACTCTTGTTTACGATGCCAGCAACCCCAGCTCGATATCACGCCACGATGATGCCGAACACCATTTGCAGTTATTTTTCTAAACCAGTCCTGGGCCTCTCCTCAACGGATGTAGCTTTAAATGAGCACCTGGTACAGTGGTGTGAACTTCAGCGCTGGGGAGAAACACAGTGGCCTCGCCACTCTGTTGTATGCTGTGCCGAACGTATTTGGTGCTCGATAATGGAATTTGCCCTTGCGGTCCATAAGGCTATTTGGGAGGTTGTATCTTTGTGTGTACGTACATGTGTGTCAGGAGCAATGTCAAAGTGGTTCACACATTCCATTACATTCCTGGTGACCTGGGTTCATTCCCAGGATATGCCACACAATATTAGTGGTCGTTGGAATCTGAACCTGTTTTAGTTTTTCCTTAAATTATAACTAAATGTGCTGTGTGAGCATGAGCACTTGGGAGAAGAAGGAGGCTGTGCATGATGCTGACCACTCTAGCCCTGTGAATGCTACACCAACCTTCGGGGTTGCTTGCTTACAGCACTTACCCAGTAGTCTCTGCGGGCTAAATGAGGGGTAATTTTCTCGTGCACATGTCTGTGATGGGCAGTGGGTATGTATTGTGACGAAGATCTTTTCATTTTAAAAGTTTGCACCATACCGAAGTTAGGTTTACAATGATGTCCCATCTGTGCGTAATGACCGTATGATAGAACAAGTGTCTTGGAATGACCTGTTACAAAGTGAAATATAATGCGTTTAGAATTGTTTTTTTTATTTATGTCCCTTTCTCAAAACCTTTTCACCACCCAAGTATGCATGGAATCAATTACATTTAACCAAGCGCCTCTATATAAATATTCCACAAATGTATATGGAGTACCTTTTTCAAGGGAGTTCTGTCGTATTGAACACCATCCACATGCAAGTGCTCCATTAAGTTGCTTAATGGCTGTCTGAACAAATGCCCTGATTTTTAAAATGGAATATCTCTCTGCGTTTTCCTTTGAGCAGCATTGCTTTTATTGACAATGAAGTCTGATATATATGTATATAGTTTAACACGTAGGCTTTCGCGACCAGTATCATCCATAATAGAGGTTGTTTTGGGTTAGATCGCGTAAACATATATAAGTGTGTCGTTAAAAACTGTCACCACCCGACACAGCCCAATAGTGAGGGTTGTCACATAATCAGAACATGCCAATTCGTCACTAGCACAGCACTAGTGTGTAGTGTAGTATATAGTGTAGTGTATAGTAGTGTAGTGTATAATGTAGTGTATAGTGTAGTGTACTCGTACAGCACACCGGTGTGTTGGAGAGCCAAGCCACAACATTTACAATCTGAGTACGACGTTTCGCCAATAATTACAACCAGCTTCATCAGGCGACAGCCAGATTTGTGGAGAAGTCCACCTGTTTTGTTCCTTATATAGAGGCGCAGATGTGGTGACCACACTTTTGCGCTCTTGTGCAAAGTGGAGGGGGGGGGGGTGATTACTGAGGCAACGTACATTATGCATGTGCATTATGCGAGCCCTTTGATCTTGTCCTTCTTGTCTATTGTGTGTATTAAAGTAGCCGTACCAACGGTAATCCCCATTGGAATATGCTGACCTTTGTAGGCATGCATTTAAACAATGTATTATTTGATGATTCGCTTCCACGCAGCACTAAGTGGGTAGCTATCCGAATGGTTAAAATTATTTGTATTTACTTCAATTTCGATACATTCTCTAATTCGTCTTGGCCAGTAGTAGCTAGTTTTGCACAGAACTCCAACATTATCGAAATAAATTGAGTGCCCTTGTTGGTACGTGTGTTCTGCTACTGCTGACAGTTGTATTTGGGAGTATTTAATATTTATCTGATGTTCTTTAAGTCTCCTGCTGATCATTCGTCCTGTTTGCCCAACATAACATTTACCACACGTGCAGTTAATCCTGTACACACCTTCTGTTGATAGCTTCGGTAATACATCTTTTGTACCAGATATTAATTTCTGTATTTTATGTACCGTGACAAATCTGACTCGGATGTTTTGTTTTTCCAAACATCTGGCTAGTTTATCAGTTACTCCCGCAATGTACGGTATTTTGATTGTTTTAAATACTTGGGCAGTTTCAATGCTCGTGTTATTTGATTTGGTTTTGGCATTCCATGCCCTGTTGATTTGTGC